CAAGGTATTCGAATATCATGATCTCCACGTCATGCTCTTTGAACTCATTTTCATCTACCTCATTTTGTTCTTTCAGCTTGTGACATGATATGATATTGACAGGTTTAAAAAATTATTTTTTCTAAAACTAAAAACGAAGACTGTTAGATAGAAAAATAAAGCAAGCTAAATATTTTTTTGCAATAGAAGAGGCTTTCATTGAAAACAAGGGAATACAAACTTTGGCTATGACCACGAGCCATTTTGCCTTTTTCAAAACATCACGAGGGAAATTAAAATATAATTAGGTAAAATAACACAAAAGGTGGGTTTTGAGCCTCATCCGGACTACCCCCAATTTTAGAAATAGCATAAGATTTATCTTTGTCTATCAAGATGAACGAGGAATCAAAAGTGGAGTGGAAGTCCAATTAAGAACTTGCTCCATTGGCTCGACATCTCGTATGCTCGGTGTCTCGATCATCTTCTTGGGCGCATCATCACCTTCTCCAAAAAGATCCCCAATTCCTTCTCCAAAACCATCATCATTGGCATATTCCTCCACCAGAAAGGACTGGCATAAATAAGGCAAAGACTTTGGTGGAGCATGATTAATCCCCTTCTTGTTTTGACCCTCTCTTGACACAGAAGCAAAAGCTTGATGGAGTGTCATGCTTGTAAAATTGAGTTTCTCATTTATGCTCGGAGAAGCTACAACTTCATCAATGTTGTCAGGACCAGCCAAAACTATCTTTTTTACCATGCACCACTCATCCTCCATCTCTATCTTATTGATAATGGCGCCTCCATAGTTTGACAGAGGATTATTGTTGACGTTGGGTACAGTGGTCTCGACCACTTTCTGGTCGATCAAGTCCTGGATCATGTGTTTCAAATTAATACAGTCTTCAGTATCATGCCCAAAACAATTGGAATGATACGCACATTTTCGATCGGCTCGGTAAAATCTTGAGCTAGTATCGACTGGATGAATAATACCTACCGCACTCAAGCGCTCGAACAACTTCATCCGACTTTCAATGAGTGACGTAAAATTTTGAGCAGGTTTCTTATCGAATCTCGAACGAGGAGGATCATATTGGCCTTGCTGAGGGAGAGACATTTGACGATGATATAGGGCGTTTTGACGATGAGATGCTTGAGACTTTGGGTCAATCATGTTAATAGTGAATCCTTCACGATTCCGCAGTGAATCACCATTGGCATTGGAAGTGACAGTTTAAAGGGTGACAATTTTTTGATCAATCAAGTCTTGAATTTTATGCTTCAAGTTGATGCAATCCTCAGTGGTATGTCCAACACCTCCTGAATGGTAAGCACAATGGAGATCGGGCCTGTAAAGTCTGAAATTGACATTGACATTTTTTGGATCAATTGTTCGTATCAGGCCAGCCACTTTCAATCTCTCAAAACGTTGGGTTCGACTTTCAACCAAAGAAGTAAAGACTCGAGAAGGTTTCTTCAAATACTCATGACAAGAAATATTGTAATTATTTCGCGACGGCAGTGGTACTTGATGATAACTTGGAGGGTTTTGGCGGCTTAGTGCTGGTGTTTGAAAATTTTGGTACTGTGGAGCTTGGTAGCTATGAGGGGAATTTTGGTAATTTGACAATGAGACTTGATAACTTGATTGGACATTTGGGTAATTTGACAATGGAGCTTGATAGTTTGGATAATTTGGTGGTGGAGCTTGGTAATCTCATTGGACGGAGTAAGGATTTTGTGGAACTAAATGGTAGGCTTTAGATAGTAAAGGCTTTCGAATATTGAGACCAGCATGCCTCTTTGATTTTTGGCTTGATTCAAATGAGATAGAGGAAACATTTTCCCTCTTCCTCCTTAATACTCCCGATGATTCATCTTGGGGAGTCATTCGCATGATTTTTTCGGTCTGGAGACCGTCTTCAATAGCTTCACCAACTTTAACTATCTCACTGAACTTCCTTCATAAAATGAGCAACATCCAATTGTAGTACTCCGGCTCTTGAACGCGCACAAAGACTTCAATAATCTCTTTCTCGGTCATGGGAGGCCTAACCCTTGCAGCCTCTCTTCTCCAACGGTAGGCATACTCTCGATAACTTTCTGTAGAATTTTGTTTGATTCTCTCCAAAGAGTATCGATCAGGAATAAATTCTATATTGTAACCGAACCTTTCAATGAAGTCTTTAGTCAAAGCATTCCAACTTGGCCACTGTTTGGTTTCTTTAGAAATAAACCATTCCAATGCTTCTCCTTTTAGACTTTGACTAAAGAGTCGCATCAACAAAACCTCATCTTTCCCAACTCCAATGAGTTGATCACAATAAGCCCTCAAATGAGTCAAAGGATTCTCAACTCCACTAAATGCTTCAAATTTTGGCCCTTTAAAACCTTCTGGAAGCTCCAAATGTGGATGAATGCACAAATCTTCATAATTCAACCATGCAATGTTTGTGGTGTATCGAAAGTCCTTCATTGCATTCATAACTTCCTCTTTAATGCTCTTGCACTCCTTCTCCTTTTTCTCTTAATGACGGGATTCAAAATATGGGGTAAAAAAAGGGTACAATTCAGGCGATTTTGAAAGATGAAATGCATTTTTTAAAGGTATGGATTGAGTGGTAGGTGGGTTTTGGAAAATTTGAGTAGTGATTTGATGGATCAGAGGAGAATTCTGGAAACGTTGGTGTTTGGATTTTGAGGAGTAGGTAACTTTTGGTGTGAGGAGCTAGCATGGTGTGGATTAGGGGTGATTAAGTCGATGAAGGGAGGTTTTGGAATCACAGCGGTGATAGAATTGTTTGGAAAACATTCGGATGTTGGATCCGAAATAGGAAAATGGAGTGGAGACCTTTCATTTTCTAGAGTAAGAGTGTTGGCAATGGTAGCCAAATATGTCAAATCTCGGGTCTTATCCATTTCAGCCCTCATTTCAGCAATCAGTTGGAACAAATGTGCAATCAACTTGTTTTGTTCAACAATGATGGGGTCAAATCAGAATTCTCAGCATTTTGAACCACTTTTTCTTTGCCTTTTGACAAACATTGGTCGAAGAAGGAACCTTTGAGGTCTTTAGACCTTGTGAAGTATCGATGTTCTGCCATTTTCTCAACACAGATCAGTTTTGAGTACCTGACAAAGAGAAACAACTCAAAGGAAAATGTGTTAGTCTCTGTCGATGATAAATAATACAAAATATCATACACATTACTGTAAACACATAAAAGTTGCTTCATTTGAAGATAAACTAGCCCACATATATAGATAAATGACTAAATAGACAGTAATTTGTCTATTTGATTTTGACCTTAGTGAATCAGAAATATCGACTTGAGTTGAGACAAAGTCAATTGTATTTTTGTTGTCGTACTTCTGATTTTTTATTGAGATGTAACTCTAATTTCTGTGTAAGAGTTGAAAAATATAAAATTTCTCAAAAATGGGGACCGAACCTTGAGAGGCTGCCTACGTACCTCACGAGGGAGAATTCAAGTCCTACGTCCTTAAATCTCTTTTTGATTTGAGATAGAGAGTTAACCTTTATTCCGAAATGAGAAAGTAAGATTTGAAAAATGAAGTTCGAATTTTGTTGAGAAATTAAAGAATCGAAAAGTATTTGGACGTACTTCGATAGTGACTCGATATTTGTGCTTATGAGATCTTAGAAAATTTTCAAAAAAGTATGCTAGAACATCTGCAAATAAAGCAACATATTCACAGAAACAGTTATAACACAAAAACAATTATTGCGCGTTCTAAGCAGATATGAGACCCTTTTATGCCAAGGGTTAGCCTAACGATTTGAAAGATGTATGCATCATTTGAAACTTTTCATTGCCCCAAAACCCAAACTTATACAAGTCTTATGGATAAATTGAATGGGGATACATAATAGGGAAAATGAGATACAAAATAATCAGTCCTGCGCAGGGGTACAATCATAAGCTATGCTTTCATGGAAAATCCATCTTTCTTGAACTTCTTGTCGTCTCCAAATATCGACGCCTTTGGATGGACTAGTAGCTTGTAAATCTCTTTCTTCGACTAGAATAAGTTATAATCTACTCCTTACCCCAAGGAACAATGATTTTTCAAATAACTTATACATCCTTCAAATTTGAACATGTAAGTATGATCGTTCGATTAGGTCGTAGGCCATTTAGGACTCAAGGTGATCTCTCTAATGGGCCTAACACACCTTGGGTGTTGGGTCATCTTAGTTCGATGCGCTAAAAGAGTGGGAACTCGAGTTAGACACTACAGGGTGAAGTGTAATAAACGACGTTGGATGACCACAAGCCAACTATTTGTTTATCAGTTCATAAGAAATCAAAGGTGTTTTTTCTGAAGGACAGTCATGGAAAGCCACGTAATCGCTTTTTTTCCTAATGCAATCTATTTGCCGTTTGGCGGAATCGAATGCCATGAAATGCAATAATTTATAATATACAAAAATTGGAACAATCAAGCAATTTAAACAAATAGCCAAATAAGTTAATTTTAAGGTTAGAACCAATTCAAGTCTCCAGCAGAGTCGCCATTTTGTTTTATTTAAAATGAGAAAACGATGGGTTTTTAAGAGTCGTCACTTAATTTTAAAAGGAAAATTAAGAAAACTGATTTTTTCAAAAGATTAAAACAGAAATCTAATGAAAATATTAAAAGGGGGTTCGGGGTTCATATTAACATTTTAGGAAGGGTTTGAAAGTATCCGAAATGCCCGCTAACATGTGGTTATCCAATAACTAACAATTCGGCTAATATGTTTAAAAGAAAAACATGCTTGATTAAATAGAAGAAATAAACAACTTTTAAACTCATTTTCAAGGAAAAGAGAAATAAAAATATTACTTAAGTGGAAAATACTATATATTCTAAAGTCAAATAAAGTAAAATATACTTATTTGATTTTAAGAAAGATATGATTGATTCATCTTTTGGGGAATTGAACTAGGGAAAAACCTTAAAATTAACTAGCAAATAAACAATCAAAACAAATACGAAAACAGATAAAATAGAGAGAGAGAGTCTAGGCCTAAGTCTAATTTTCTGTCCACCTTGACCAACATTTAGACCTAATTTCAATTTTTGGGCCTTTGGCCCATTTGTACCTGTCCTAAAATCTAATAGGATAGTAACACTCAAAATAAGAGGGATTAGGCCCAATAATAACGAAATACAAAGCTTAAAATTTAAGGCTCTTTTAGCCCATTTTCAATGTAATATACAACATGTACGATTGATGTATATAGCTGTATATTGTGAGTATCCAACACTTTGATTCGCTCCGAACACCTGTACGACAATGTCAAGGACCTTTTCTTCGATCTTTCAAGACTAGCTGACTCAATAAAGGAGAATTGGGCCTCCTTGGCCTATTTCGAGATGCAAGGAGTTGGAGTTCATGATAAACTCAGACAGATTTCATATGCGACACAAAGTAAAAAAAAAATACATAAGTATAACTCATTAACTAAAAAAACCATACTATATCAAAAATAAAAACTAGCATAAACAAGGCAGTGTCTAGAATTGATAACGGAGAACTCTTAATTTTAATTAAGCCTTAGTAAGCCTGATAACTACTAACAAATTACTAATATTTGACTACTGACTACATTTATCATTAATAATGACACAAATAGAATAATAAAAAGATGGCTAAAAATTAAGTTTAAGAGCTATTTAAGATGAAAAGCAAAATCATGACAAACAAGCTAAGCCTTCCTAAATGAAAACAATGCACAATCTGGAACAATCGGTCAAAACATTAGCAAAAACTATCAGCCGAAAAATGAGCAGGAACTGTAGCGACCCTAAAAATAGATAGGTGAAACTAGAGCCTAACGTATGAATTTTTAAAGTTTAAGCATAAATTGGAAGTAGTCACTTTTGGAAAAAAAAAGTTCTGAATCTGGAAATTGGCTAAGTTCAAAACCTGGAAATTTGGTTAAGTGTGGGAAATCAGTGAGTTTTTGGCCAACTTTGAGCAGTCATAACTCCTAGCTCAGGATTATCCAGGAGTAGTTCCAGTTATGTTTGAAAAGCCCTTGGAACGATCTTTCCAACGCCACTGAGTTTGCTCGATTCCGAGTTCGTATGAGTGAGTTATGCCCTTTGAAAGTTAGGCAGTTGGCAAGGAGTCCGTCCGGAAATTTAAGGGCATTTTGGTCATTTCACAAATCTTTTCTTTTGAGGTTATATTATTGTGTTAGGCTGATTGTGGATCATTTTGTTCCATTTTAAAAGAGTAAAGTTAGGGTTCTTGAGTGAAGAAGAGAAGAAGAGAGGAAGAAGAAGAAGAAGAAGTTGGAGCTAGGGTTGAAGATTTTGAGTTCTTTCTTCTTCAATTTTTCGTGGGCTTTCAACTTAGAGGTATGGTGACCCTTGATCCTTGATGAATCTTTCTTTCAAGGAGTCCAATCAAAAGGGTTTCAAAAGTGTTTCAAAGAACAAAAATCTCAAATTCTAATCTAAGCACGGGTTCATTGGCAAAACGTTTTCTAAGCCATTATATTGATGAATTAATATTTTTTTAAAGATGATTTCGTATGGAATTCCTTGAAGAACCCATGTTTTCCCTAAATTCCTAAATTTGCTTATGAAGTGGGTCTTTTGCTTATGATTCAAAGTTTATGAAATTGTGTTTGGATTGGATTGTATTAGTGACTCTTATGATTTTCTACATCTATCTATGATGAATTGATGATGTATGGATGAATTGAAAGTTGTGGCCTTATGGGCAAATTATGGATGAATTCTCTTGTGGTAAGTAAAATGGTTGGCACTTGAGTGTTGTTGATTATGGCTTTGGAGGATGGTAAGTTGGCTTAATCTCTTATTATGGATAAAATTGTTCTTGCTTAGTTTGATCCACTTATGGTGGAGGTGTTTAATTATGGAATGTATTATGAACATGGACTTGAATGCATTATCTATTGAATTAAAGTGTTATCAAGTTATGAAATGTTATTATACTATGTGAAGGTATTCTTATGGTTATAAGGTAATCTTGTACAAAGTGTTATTGTATTGTATATTATATATATAAATGAGGCTATATGTAAAGTCCTATATGAAGCTATATGTAAAGTTTTATGTGAAGTTTTATGTGTGAAGGTATGATGTGAATGAGTTTATGTGATCTTGTGATGATCCTATGTAAAGTGGATAACATTGTGATTTAAAGTATGATTTTACTAATGATGTATATATGAAATGATGTTGGATTATGAAGTATCCTTAGATGATAATGTTGTGACTTGGTTGGTAGACTAAAGTGTCTCTCCTTGTTACTTAAAGTCTTGAATGCATGAATGTGTGAAGTAGGCTAGAACTAAGAAATGGTGCCCTTTCTATAAATGCTAAAAGAGGAATTCTAGGCCAAGACTTGAATCGGCAAAACTAAGAAATGGTGCCCTTTCATAAGTCTAGCTTTCCTAAGTAAATGTATAACCTTGAAGGATGGGCCTTAGGGCGAAGTTCCCTTCTTGAGTGAAATGATAGACTTAGAGATGGATGGAGCCGGAACGACATGAAAATCCTTATCTAAGAAAGTCAAATGAGCTATCCTTATGAACCTTGATTGGCCATGACTTAGAGATGGGGCCTTTCTTTGGGAAGAGGTACTATGAGTTGGTTGAACTAGAAAAGGAACCCTCTCTAAGTACATATGTGATTGAATACTCTATGGGAAACAAGGCTAGCACCGAGTGGATGTGGTTAGGAAGGTGGCCTAGTTGAGTATGAGATTAGGCACAATTAACTTCCTTGGACATCCCCTAAACCATGTGCCTACATGGGTTGCTTACTAGTTCTACCTTTGGCAAGTAGAACAACCTCTACGGAGTAGGATAGACTCTGGATTCCATGCCTAGCTAGTATGGTCTATGTCGGTTATGTCTATTCCCATCATGTGGGATATGCACTCTAGTTATTGGATAGGTTCTACAACGTGTAGGTAGTAGTATGGGATGCTATCTACACATGGCACGAGTAGGCTTTGAAAATACTAAAGTGAATTCTCTAAGTCTAACGACTATTATGTGAAAGTCCCCTTATGTGCTTGAATGTCTCCTAAATGGTTTCTTAAAGAATGTTGGTCTATTGATGTTATGTTATAAAGGAAATGTCCTTATCTAAGGTAATCTTGAGGAACACTTAAGTATGCTTGAAGAGGTTGTATGGGCGGTCACTTCTTGTCTCACTCAAGTGTGTCTTAAGGTTATATTAGGTAGAGGTCCTACGGTAATGAAATGGTGTGTGTTCTTTTAAAGTTAAGCATGAGTTGTATATGAATATATGTTGAGTATGTATATTGTTGGCTATGGTTTTCTATGTGAACATTGACTTGTATTATGTCTCTTATTCTTGTGAAGTGAAGGTTTTATCAAAATAATATGAAAGCATTTATTTCTTGTAAATGTCCGTTTTGGCATGTTTTTGCATGGTCATCATACTTAGTACTTAATTGTGCTAATTCCATATTTCTCTATTTTCTACAAGTGTAGGTTCCGGCAAGTGAGCGGGTTTTGTAGTAACTTGGGATTTGAAGTTCTACCTAGATTTTGTGGTATGTCCTCATATGTCGAGGGCAAGACTTTTCTATTCTAGTTTTATGATAAGATTCTTGTAATAGACTTAATAGACTTCTTTTGATTGTAAAGGGGCGTGTCCCTAGTTTGTTTTCACGTTTATGTCAAGATGGCTAAGAGACTTAGTATTCCGCTTGTGTACTTTTGAATGATGTTTTAAAAGTGACCTTTGAGTCTTATGGGATTTTATTTAAAGAGTTTTTAATTCCGCACTATTTTACATATCTAATGTGATGAATGCTAAGGGCTTGTATGAGACCTCCGAGAGGTCGAATACGCATGTTACAACTTGGTGGTGCTCTCGGGTCGTGACAGGAACATTCAATAAAAAAAAGAGCACAGAATCTTAATTGATTTAAAAAAGGGACAGACCCAATATCATTGGATGCTACTTTAACCTTAAAAGAAAGCTTGTATATATATATACTCTTAACAATACTAAAGAGGTAAACTTAACAACTTATCCAAAACATTAGCAGCTTCGACTAGATACTCTTATGGTGAGGTCCATGATTAATGATGAGATTTTCAAGGTATGAACCAAATGTGCACCATATAATATTAGCATTTAAATCAATATGAAAAAGGAAAAAAAACAACTATAAGCAGACGAGATTAGAGATAACAGAATACTCAAACATGGACAAGTAACTAAGCTTCAGCTCCTTAATCACGATTGATGCTACATTGAACCCATAATCTTAGGCAAAATTTAATAAATACACACAAACATGAACTTAAAGCTTCCCAACAGATAATCGAAACAAGCTTAATGCAGTTAGGTACTACAACAAAGATTCATAACGAGTATGAGCACATGAAGCATTGATATCGATGATTTCTATCACTAAGTTACTACAAACTCCAAAATATAATGATTCCTAAGAGACGAAGGTAGCCTCAACAAGAACACCATCATTGTTATCTTCTAATCTACGCGTTCATACAATCACTCGAAATCAAACGAAAATGAAGGATGCAGATGCGTAGCTACTTCAGGGAATTGAGAAAAAAAATAGCTAAACAAAACGAAATAGAAGAAAATATTATCTCTTTTGGAGCAGCGAACCTGAGACGACGAGCTTGAAAGGATACTTACACCACCAACTTCAAACTCTGATAAATCTGAAAAAATGATGACTAGGATCAAACAGTGAAATTGTAACCCAAAGCTAAATATCCTCTCTGTTTTCAGCTGTTTTCTTTTTCTAGATTTCTATATCTAATTTTCGTTCATCAGCTTGCTGGACTACCCTCTCTATCTATTTGTTCCGGCCCCCAAACAAAGAGGGAGAAATGGGTTTAAATAGGGGAAGACTAGGGTTCGGTTTAGGGGGAAAACAGGTGAAGAATTAGGTGAAATTCGAAATTCAAAATTTCAAATTTTTTCAGAGATAAGGTTGGAAGAGCTGGAAATAGTACAAATTCT